TATCTAGTTTTGAATGCCTTGGATACCTAGTTGATGGTAATGGTTTTAGACCAGATATGAAACGACCAGCTCCACTGACTAATGCACCGTCTCCGAAACATCTTACAGAATTACGTTCACTAGTGGGTGCTCTTCAATAATATTCCCGTTTTATTCCTAATTTTTCTTGTCGTGCAAATTGTTTATTTAATATTTTAACATCCAATTCATTCAAATGGAGTGAGGAACAAGAGTCATGCTTACGAAGTCTGCTGAAGTTTCTTCAAAGTGATGCTGTTCTTCGAACGTACTCCGCTAATGTACATTCTGTGCTTATTACTGATACATCACCTGTGGGAATCGGTGCAGTTTTGGAACAGGAATGTAGACCAGTTATTTGTGTTTCACGCCAACTTACTGTTACTGAACAAGGTTATTCACAGACTCAGCGAAAAGCATTAGCTGTGTTTTAGGCTGTTAAAAGACTTCATAAATATTTATTCGGAAAGAAATTCACTTTTGTTACTGATCATGAAGCTTTAAAGTTCATTTATCATCCCGAAAAATCCTTAGCACGTTCCTCAGCTGCTATGGTTCAGCGATGGAGTATTGCTTTGTGTGCATATGACTATACGGTTCAGCACAGAAGTGCCAAACAGATTCAACACGTTGATTACATTTCTCAACAGTTACTACAAGATAGACCTGTTAAAGCTTCAGACTGTTTGTTAGTGCAACCTTTACCAGTGGGACGTTCAGATCTCATTAGAGGAACTCGCAGATATTTTGGATGTATACTCAGTGCTATAAGGAATGGTTGGAATGCTAATTTGAAACGTAGATTCCCTATCTATTTTTCAAAGCGGGATGAGCTTTCTACTACTCCTGATGGTATTCTGTGTTTAAATGATCGTGTTGTCATTCTTCCTTCATTGCGTAAATCTGTTCTTGAAGATCTTTATAGTGGTCATTTAGGTGTTGAGAAAATGAAGTCCTTGGCAAGGCCCACATGTTGATGGCCAGAGATAAATGCAAACAATTGTGAGAACTGTCACAAGTTGAAAAATCAGCATTCGAAGTATACTCCGTGGCCAGTATCGTCTGAGGCCTGGCAGAGAATTCATGCAGACTATTTCGGTCCGTTTCTTGGCAAATACTATGCACTTGTATTCATTGATTCTTTTTCAAAGTGGCTTGAAGTCTTTTTCACAACTTCACCAAATTCTGGCTTCACAATCCAAGCATTAAAAAAGGTGCTTAGTCGCGAACGGGTTCCCAAGGTGTTAGTGACTGATAATGGTTCTCATTTTGTTGCGGATGCAGTCACTGCCTGTTTGAATGGTATGGGGTGTACACATCTGTTTACTGCTCCCAGAAATCCTTGTTCTAATGGTCAGGAAGAAAATGTTGTCAAGACATTGGAAACTCCTATTGATTCTATTGCCGCCTCAACATTTAATGGGTTGGAGAGAGGGGAGTAGATACTTTTCTACTGCGATATAAAAATGCTAGATATTCTGTGACGAAAGGGGCTCCATTAAAGCTATTAAAAGGAAGAGTTCTTCGGTCGAATATGGGATCTTTGAAGTTTGCTGAAGTTACATATTATCGTGGAAGTGATCTTCAACTATCCAGAGGGATTGTGCTGAAGAATGTCGTAAAATATATGGTGCGAATTTTAGATATCAATGACCTAAGTACACTGACACGACATGTTGACCAAATACACTTCCAGGAACCAAGTGAGTCTGTTCCAATTTCGGTTGTTAATTCTAATGCTAATGATTACGTTCTAGATAATACAGAGTCTTTATCCAATACATTGTCGGACAGACATAGATTGAACTTAAGAAGAAGACGTATAATGATTACAGACACTTAGACTTCAATTTAAGCTGTGGCGGAAGTGGTGTTTTAATGAATTAATGATTCAGTTGTACTTGTTGAATGCTTGATTTCGAATTCCAAATACAGTGCATTCGTTCGTGATTATCAAGTACTTCTTGATCCAGTTGCATTATTTCTGGAATTCTTAGTTCGTACTATAATTCAAATATTTCTAATTGTCATATTAACTTAACAAATCCTACCACCTAGTCACCTACCCATTTATTGTCAAACAGACTCAGAGCAGAATTACACTAGTTAGGTACAAGAAACTTACCGGCTGCAGAAATCAAATGTTTCTATTAGTGTAGGAGTAGTAACCTGTCATCTTAGGACAGACAATATGAAGTTTGTTCACAAAGTAGTATTTAACTATATTAAAAATATCGACAAGAGTAATGAAAACCACAAGCTTAATTATGATAATGAGCGTTTTGAGTTCTAAAATTATGCTTCGATTCACAATAAAAAACCCACGAGTCCAGTCAGTCTAAGGAACACATTAAAAAGGAGTGGGAATGAATAAATACGACAGCCGATATAACCTTACATTACTACAATTGATGAGCATCATAGAAACCCAGTGTCAAACTGAGAAAATCAAAAATTACGACAAAAGTGTATCGTAACTATATCATCTAGATTCATAAGTTCAATAAAATCTGCGGCAGAAGGAGTCACGAAGAATAACTTCACGTTTAACAGGACGACAGCGCGTTATATCGCAAAAGTTTGCACATGGAGAGGTTTACACACACATTCACAAGGAGACGAGTATTCAAAAAGAGACCCTAATCATGTTGACTTTCCTCCGATACACAAGAAAAACGCAAGCCACACGATGGCTCTACTTCACCTGATAATCAACAATCACGGTGAAACGTCGGCGGTATCTGACAAACGACTTAAAACAACGCGTTTTGGAGGAATGGCAAGGCTGTAGAATCATGGTCTACTTCGTTATTAGTACTGCCCTAATAATATACTTAATCCTAAAATTGTAGATTTGTCATGATATAACTGCCTAATCTATAAGATCTTACGTGGAAGTCATATCACTGTCTACACCAACTCATCGTGTCGCAACAATCACAGATATATGGTGGAGAACAAACTCAAGCTAGAGGAAACACAATATATTTAATATGAATAAAAAATATAAGAAAACACTCAAGAGTGAGCATCCCTGCCAGGCTGAGTCGTGCCATCCGATTAATTCCAGCTAATTCAATTCAATATTTTCGCCTTCTCCATCGTTGAGTTTTTCTCCGCGTTAAATGTTGATTGTCTATTTTCCCAGATGTCTCGTGTCCAGCTTTGAGGATTGTGTGATTAGGGCCAAATACCACTTCAAGGCTTTCAGAATGCCTAAAGGATTACTGCACGTATGACACCACATGACACTTTGTTTCGCCTCGATTTTTGTTATTATTTCCAAACGAACAAAAACAAAGTATTTTTAATATGCTCATATCTTTTTAATGTTTTCATCTGGAAAAGAAACTAAACTTTTTATTGATATTACGTTTGTTTACATATGTATATTTTTATTTTCTCAAAAAAACAAGTCTTTTCGAGATCTTTCTCACGCTATTGCATGTAATCAGAACGCATTTATATAAGTTTGTTTTCCTTTATTTGCCTATTCTGTGTTTTTACGCACGTACGAGTGTATTTCGAAATGTAATCATGTGTCCTTTCTTCCACTCTTATGACGGCTGGAAAAAAAACCGATGAAGCTCAAGACGGATCGAAATTTTCATTGTACCTTTGTTTTAATAACTTATTTTACAACATGGCCCCTTATAATAAATAAAGTCAACCAGGCGCTGCTGAACATATCAAGCTATCAGAAGGTTGTTTAACGACGACAAACCCCTTGAGTTTCGACTTCTGACTGGACAGGTCCTAGGGTTAGAACTACCCGACAATCTGGTTGATTGATCTGTAGACGTAAATAAATCTCGTAAACCGATAGCTCTGTAAATCTTCGGCATTTGATGCTGACCGCATTAGTTTCACTGATCTCACCTAAGTGAAGACGCCCGCTTACTCACCCGCACCAGATTACGATTGTGTACGCCGTGCTTCACATCTCCTACTACCACTAGCTTTCGTAAATTAATCATTTCCTTACATATTGAGAGCATGTCAAATATATCTTTGAACATCGTTGCTTCTGACTTCCGATTTGATTGGGTTGGCATGTTTCGATTATATAAGTTGTTACTGGTTGAGGTGTTGTCAAATTCCGAATACGTGTGGCATCTTCAAACCAATGAGGTCAGCACCAATGTAGAAGGCTAGCAAAGCCATGTATATCGAGGGTTTCTTCCCAGTGTATGTTTTATTATTGCTTACTCGCAGCTAACCCTAGCTCGAAAATCAAGGCTTGCGGTTGACAGAGGTCAGAAGAAGCACAACATGGTTAACCCTCGTAATCGTAGTGCTTCTATTTGAGGTGGGTTTGTTTAAACTAATCCACGCGTTTTAAAAAAGGATCAGAGAAGACTTTCCTTTTGTCTTCAAATCAATTACGTGGTAAATGATTGGGATCTAATATTCCATCACTTTTCTTTTCCTCTATGACAGAAGGTTTACATTTCGTAAAAGTTCGCAAGCTCAGAATCAATTGCATGTTAACTGACCATTGAATTATAAGTACGTGAAGCTCCCTACCTCATCGCATGGTTCAATTTCCATCTATCGATATGCACAAAAGTTGTAAAAACTGAAAGACCTCATCAACCAGGACTAACATAGGGGACCTAGCCTCTCGTCTCTGAATTTTAATCCACCATTTGAAAAGTCCCATATGGAAAACTGGTCACATTGAAACTCAAATTATTCTAGTAGCATTAAGTGCCAGCGAAAATATACAGGACCAAGCTTACGTCCTATCATGCTTAAAAAGGTGACAGAAGTGATAAATTCTGCTTGACTGTGATTGGTTGATAGGTCAAGTGTTGAGACCATTAAACTAATAGTTGAGAATAATTCATTACATTATTGCAAACTGGAAGCTCAATAAGATGTTTTTTGCGGTATTAATTTAGCAATACTGTGAACGCTGAAAGTTGATTTTAGAGCTAGAAAATTATTTTCTAGTTTTCTTTGCAATGTCTTCGCCATAAGAACAGTTTACTGAGCGGGCCAATCGAGTACACGAATCAGGCTGTTGAGTTTCGTCTGATGTTTGCTTTAAGTGGCTATGCCCACTCGTCGTAAAAATGTTGACTTAAACAGACTGAAACGTTCCTGTAAACGAAGCAAGGTATTCGAGTTACTATCTTTGTCGTAAGTATTCAAAATATTTCCAACTATCCCCAGTTACGTCCAATACCTCCTAATATCCATAATATGGGGAGTATTGTTTGTAGTAAATCAATCAACGGACATGAGGTTTGAGTACTTTTGGCCTGTTTGGCTATCTGTTTGCTCAATACATGACTCACTGAAGTTCCAAGGACTGGTAAATATTATGTCTGTTCATATTTCACATGCAGCAATACACAATTGTCTTTATTATTATTTTGATTACAATTGATCTAATGTGTTTCTTCTTGATCCCTGTGTCATGGATTTACACATTCGGTAGTGCGTATGTGTGGCTATACTTTTTTCGGCACACTGGTTAGTGTGATGACTAATTAAATAATAAAAGTTTCAGATCAAGGGTTGTGTTTCTTCACTTTGTCGCTGTGTTTTGTTTTCATATATTTTGAATTTAGTCTCTACTCAAAAGCGACAAAATCCACTCACAGCATTTATGTTTTCCGTCCATTTGCAGCACACAGGTATGATGAAATTAGTGTGATTAAACGCCCTTAGTATTGGCTACTCGGTAGTATGTGTGGGATTTTCTCTAAAACGGTACCTGGATATCAGCTATCGAGATGTAGGTACTTTTCAAGCTTTATATAGGATGTTTAGTTTAAAAGAATGAATGTTAGAAGGCAAAATTACCTGCATTTTCGAATTCTTTATGAAGCTCTCCCACTGTCGTCGGTAAACGACAACGCTTGTAAGTTTCTGTTACATTCAAACATACTTGAATCAGACGTTCAACATAGTCTTGATTATTTTCAAAAGGATTCCCTAGAAATTCATGAAGTTGCAATGTCTGATGATGTGAGTTCTTATCTCATTTTTTAAACCTCATTACTCATCTACCTTTAATATCGTAGTACATTTTTGAATATACAGATTATATACAGCTATATATTTCAATGGTTTGTCAACCTCTAATTGATCATGATGCTCTACGAATAAGCAAGACTTACATCATTTAAATATTTACGTGAATAAGTATTCTGCTTATGACAAGATAAAATGACTAAAGGTCTTAAGTGATCAGCTCCACCTACCAACGAAATTTAAAATCTATAGCCAACTTTATGCAGTGAGGATTACTTGTTCCTAATAAGTCAATGTTAACTGTCTTAAAGAGTGGGTCCCTAACCATAATAACTCATTATTAGTTGACGTTTGGTAAGTAAACAAAATTCTATCATTTTTCAATCTTATAAAAAGGGGAGTAAACTCCCTCATGATAACAATACAGAGTCAGCTTAGTTTATTTGTTGTCTAACATATTAGCATTGATAACCATTCGATGCCTAAATGGAGATCTGCGGCAGCAAACCCGAGAAAACAAATCAAGTTCAAATTTGGTTTTAACTATGTAGTTTCAGTCACTTGCTAAAGTGTGACGCTTTAGCCAATACGTCAACTACCATGTTACAGTGACAAAATTCTGATTTACGCCTCATGGAGGATTCATTTTAGGAGGTTTAAACCTTCCGGTATTGTTTGGATCTACAGTCACTGACTTCTCAAAGAAGTGCTATTTTCTGGTTTGTTCATTGTTTACCTTTTTTCAACATGATCTAATTCTCTTTGAGCGTATAATTTATAGTGTGCCTAGACATTTGCTGTGTATACCAACGGTCTTCTCTTCAAAATCGTCTGTTTGTTACCAATCAGAACACTAAAACGTCATCCAAGTACCTGATGTTTTTTCTTTTACTTTTATTTTAGACTGATAACTCGTGATTAACGACGTAGAATTTAAGCCCACAACACTGACTAACGAATCTCAATAGGTATACAATACGGATAGTTGTCACAAAAAGTTGAGTCATAGGTACATAGTCCACTAACTGTTATTTCCGAACTGTTGAAGGCAACTCAACAGCTTATCGGTAAGATCATAGCTCTCAATCGGAAAAATATTCAAATACTACGAACTATTTCCTTAGTTAAGAAACAGGATATACACAAACTGATCCCGCCAAAAACAGTTTCCATAGTTTCACATTTTTGCTCCTTCTCCCGTCAATAACATGTTTTTGAAAAATTGATATTGTTTACACTATGATCTTTGTGTGGGTGTTTAACTTCTGTTCTTTCTCCGTGTGACTACAAGTCACTTAATTCAAAAGAATGGTAAAATATCGCCTAAGCCATTGTAGCTTACTACCAAACTATTCCTTGAACAGGCTGTAGATTCTTTTCATAATGATGCAAATAACATCCTTGCATGACTCGAACAATAGTCTCCCCTTAATACCCCAGTCTGAAGTTTGCTGACATGCTATTGGGCATTGTTACCAGGTCCTGCATTGCTCACAAACGAATGACAATGCTTCTACCACTCATTATGTGAAAACTCACATTGTTACGTTGACCCCCAAAGACATCTTGGTCATTAGACATGGGACCACAATATTAGCACCAACTACCTTCAAAATCTGGAAAGATGCGCACATTGATTGCCTTACTTTGTTCTCTCTCCCTTAGCCTAATAAGATCGACTAGTAACCACTTGATGATATCCGCAAATTTTTATTGTCAGTCCTTGCGACTAATTTCATCGCAGACTAAGTTTGGAGCTAGGCTATATCAGTTTGAGTATCACTGTCACATTCTCGTAATTGTTGAGTTTATTTCCCGCACACTTTGCAACTTGAGTGAGTCTTTTATCAACGGGTATTGTTCTCATTCATCCTTAGAGTTTCATACGATCACAGTTCAAGGTCTCATTCTAAGAAGAGATGCTCAAACGCTCTTCCATTTTACCCATAGTTATATAATTTGAGTTTCAAAATTATTTCATACTTTTGATTCCACAAACTAACCGTTTCTTTTTGAAAAATGATTCCCTATGTCTAGTATATTTTCACTTCAACTGATATTACTACTACCACTACTACTACTACTATTACCATTACTGCCTCAACTACTTCAACCACTTTTATATTCATCCTGGTAACTTCCCCCGACTATGCTGATGTGGTACGGGAAAGTGGGCCGACGCAAATGCATACCCGGTTCTACGTTGCTGATGACTAGCTGAATGATAACCTACGTGACAATTGTAATAAAGTCAGTGCCTGGTAGGAGAAGTGTTCTGACTTTTGTCTAAACCTAATACCAGCCGCGCGATGTTCGTTTTTGGGAGAATTTCAAGAAAGCATCACCATTGAGATAATCAATAAAATTTGTAGCTCAGACAGACTCTATTAGTGACTATGAGCTTTCCGACCCAAATGGCTTAGTTGCAGAGCATCCATTGTCATTCTAAACAATGTCTTCAGCTCCTACATGAAGTATACTTGATTGACATTGTCAAAATGTCACTCTCATTCTAATACAAACCTTAGCATTTTTGTTTGAATACTGAAGTATTCTGTTACATAACTACACATTGAAGCTTCAATATTTGAAGTAGCTTCGAAGATCTTTGGTAGGATTTCTCCACTATGTCGTTGGCGCGGCAGTTATTAAGTGCGTATACAAGTCGCTAAACTCGATAGTCAAGGCTTAAATTCACTAGATGATTTGAGAAACTGCAGTGATCACGTTCGCATGACATAATTTGTAGTCATTTTTTATTTCGCGTTAGATATTTTTGTATTCATCTATCAGTAGAAGGATGAGCTTTGCTGGACACTCGTGTAGCATTTTAGCATCCAACGAATTTCGTTGTGAGCTGTCATCTCTCAACCACTTCTCATTGATATATTCGATTGATTAGATTTCCAATTATCAGACTTTATTTTTAATGCTAATCGTCGTGTTTTTCATTTTCCGGAATGTCTTGTTTTTTGTTTACTAGTTCTCATCAGATTTTTCTAGTCGATCGGTATTCATACCTTTTCGCTTTGGTCAATTATGTTTTGGTCGTTTAGTTCGTTGGTTTTTCGGCTATCTCAGATCTGTTGATAAACAATACTTGGATTTTGATAGGTATGCTTTACCTGTTTTATCACATTGGTATTTTAAAATCCCATATTATAAGCTATATGCTCTGCTTGAATTAAGGAATGTATTTCAACTGGTGTATCTTAAATTGTTTATAAAATATTCGTGGAACAATAACGCATATTATTCTTTGGACCTAACATTTTGAAATTCCATCAGACAAATTGAGCCGTTCATTTTTCTGTCGAGCACGTATAACAACTGTTGAGAGTGAATGGATTTCGGTCCAGTGGTCTAGAAGTTAAGTGTTCGCGTGTGAGACCGAAGGCCCTGGGTTCGAATCTCGTGAGCGGGACCGTGAATGCGCACTGCTGGGGAGTCCCACAATATGAAGATGCGGCCGTTCAGTGCTTCCACGTTTTCAATGGTGGTCTGACGTCGAGCGGTTCATGATCTCAATGGTTTCCATAAAGTTTGGCCCATACACCCCCAATGTCTCTTCTTAATTTCTTCTTCAACTGGTTGCTGATGGGTTCTGTAATAGAGTAGGTTATTACTGATGGTGTTTGATCAACGCATCTAGAGTATCTTGCGTATACAACTGTTTATAAATATATGTACTTTTTTTATGATGGTTATAGTTCTCAAAATTTCAGCTCCGTACAATAGTTCTGTCTTGATTTTCTTATTGAAAATTCTGACAGTTTTTTGAGTTGCAGATGTCCTTCAATCTTATGAATGTTGGTCTTGCTTTGTCAGTCCGTGCCTCAACGCCTGCATCACATCCCGCTTGTTTATCAGTGATACTGCTGGGGTTCGTGAAAGTTTCCACCTCCAGAGCTTCCCCATGAAGTTTAACTTGGTTGGTCTTCACTTTATATTTTAGGATATTACTTTTTCTCATGTGAATGTTGAGGCCTGCTGCTGTGGAGACTGACACTACTTTGACTGTCTTCACCTGTATTTGTTGCTGTGAATGGGATAGAGAAGCTAGGTCATCTGTGAAGTCCAAATAGTCTATCTGCATCCAAGCTATCCACTGTATTCTGTGCTTCCCCTCAGATATGGAGGTCTTCATGATCAACTTAACTACCAGAAGAAAGAGAAAGGGGGATAGTGAGCAGCTTTGTCTGTCATTGGTCTTCACTTGGAATACATTTTTGAACCGCACTCAATGCATAAAGTTGCAGTGCAGTCTGTTGTAAGAATTCCGTACGATTGTGACAATCTTCTCATATAGATCATAGTGTCGAGGAACGTCCCATGAGGTCCTCCTATCCACTCTGTCGAATGCTTTTCCATATTTAAGTAAGTTGGTGCGTAGTGATGAGTTTCATTCGATTGATTGTGTCGCCATTTGGCCGGTGCATAGTCGATCCTTACAAAATCCAGCATGTTTGTCTAGAAGTTGAACATGTACTGAATCCTTCATTCGGTTTAACAACACCGTTGAAAACTTCCTGGTACTGATATTATTATGATGCCTCTTGCCCTCACACGTGCTAAGATCTCGTTTCTCCAGTAGCTTGATGAGATATCTATCTTTCAAGTCTGTCGGAACTTGTTCTCCCTCCCAAATCTGTCTGAAGAAACCTTGGAGCATCTTCCATGTCAGAATTCAATGCACCATCTGGTCTGGTGTCCAGTTTTGCTGCTTTACCATTCTTGACTTTTTTTGGCCATGTTGGTTTCTTGTACTGTTAGTGCGATAACATCTGTAGGGAAGTTTTCGTGTGTTGCTTCGATTCCTAGGGGGTTTTGTTGGGCTGGTCTGTTTTAGAGCTCTTGATAGTGTTGTGCTCTCGTATTCCGTTGCTCTTGAATCTCACCGTTTATTTTTAACTTTGTTATTGGTTGGTTGCTTTCGTTCACCATATTTTCCATCTGACTTCATCGTATCGTATGGTTGTCTCATGTTTCCCCTTCTCTTGCAGCTTTTTTCTCTATCATTGCTAGGTCTACCAATATGATATATATATATATATATATATATATATATATATATCATATTGGTAGACAAGTATCCTTGCATTGCATTTAAACTTTACGACTATGTCTAGTTCATGTGATAAATGTTTTCTGTTAAGTATTTTCGATCATTTCACATGCTATACTTACAGTCGAACTGCACGTTTTAACCATTCCTCGACTACAATAGTAAATGGAGTAATATCAAATACTTGTGTTGTTGATGCTGGTCTACGTCGAGCTGTTCAGTGCCTTGAGTCAAGTCCGTCTGGATCGCAAATTAGTCGTCGATATACCACAGAGAATTCAGTGAACCTTTACTCTAATTCTAAACCTTCAGTTAATGGTTGTGTTCCTAAGCAATCTAGTAGTGGGAAACCAGTACGTGAACGAGGTGCTAAGGAAGATCCAGTAACAAGGTATGCGAATTCGTGTTAATTTAACGGTCTTTAGTCTTTTTGCATTTTTAAACTGAATCACTACAACATTTACAACGTGTTTGACAGTTATTCTGTCAAATTTGTAGGCTATAATTCCGTATGTAACTAGTTGTTGAACGTTTTAGTTTTTATTTATCTACTCTGTTTATAGAATTAACTTAATCAAGTTAGTTAAAAATTTCTTTATGGTATTAATTCCTATTCACTGCGTGTCTTTACCAACTTATTATTTATCTATTTAATTATTTGAACTCATAAATATTGGTACAAAGGGGCGCCGAATATATATGAGTCACACAAGTCACTTGATTTGTGTGTGGGCTATGATACTGTCCGGGTGTCCAAACGGAAGCAGGTGCTTTATTAGGGGGCCACATCCGGAGCCTTCGACCTAAAGATATAACCCACAAGACAGCGGAGCAACGTAAGGAGATGCGGTCCTATGGTAGCCAGTGACCGACGATTCAGTCAGTCAGTCAGTAACAACGTAGAACTTCGTGCGTACGTACATCAGTTCGAGTTGCCACACCACATTAGCACAGAAATGCAGTGGTCGATTCAAATCCCGTAGTGGTAGAGGTAATAAGAGTATATGCAGTAATCGAGAAGATTAAGGTTTGGAGATGTTATTTAAAGAGTATAATCCAGTGAAATAAATTTGGAAAGATGAAAAAAGGGACATGAAGAATTCAGAAGATTAGAATTTGGGAGAACACAGAGAGTGGATGCACCTGCGCCATTGCAAACAATTTTGAGCCATGTCATTCAGGGTCTTTAACCATCGGTTGCTATCATCTCGCGGTCCCCAACCAGGTAGTCTACACTTATCAATATGACTCAGTCTACTTGTCAGTGACTTCATGGACTTGTGCCATATTTTGGTCTGGCCACCCCTAGCTTCCTTCCAACCTACTCCTATACAACAAAACATCGCACATCGAGGCAGTCGGTGGTTGGGCATACGTAACACATGTCCCAGCCATCTCAACTGATGAAGTTTCACTACTTCATCAATTGATTTGCCATCCTTACCTAGTACCCGTTTCCTGACAACTGTGTTACTTACTCCATGGTCCCAGGATATACGAACAATGTTTCGAAGACACCCATGATCAAATACTAGTAACATACGGATATCCTCTACTCTTACCGGCCATGTTTCACTGCCATAAAGTAGGACGGAACGAACTGCTGCACAGTAAACACGTCCTTTGGTTGGTAGACGGATATCTCACCTACGCCATAAATGACGCAAGTTGGCAAAAGCTAGTCGAGCCTTCTGCATCCGTGCTGAGATTTCGTCACACACCAGACCACAAGGGCTGATGAGACTTCCAAGATAAGTGAAGCGGTCGACACACTCAATTACTTCACTTCCTATCACTAGTTCGGGTGTCAATGCAACCCAATCCTGAAGCAACATTTTGCATTTCGAGGGAGAGAGTCGCATCCCGAACATGCTTGCATTGTTGCTTAGAGTGGTCAGAAGACTCTGCATTTTGTCAGCGTCTTCACCAAATAAAACTATGTCATCTGCATATTATAAGTCAACAAGTGAACCTCCTGGTAGAAGTTCAACCCCTGGAAATCTAGACGAGGAAAGTGTTATCTCTAAAAGTACGTCGACGACAAAGTTGAACAAGAATGGAGAGAGTGGACAGCCCTGACGAACACCGCTTGAGGTAATCAATCCTGATGACAGTTCGCCATAAGCCCTCACTCTACCAGTTGTGTTCGAGTAGAGAGCCTTTACAAGGTTAATGTACGTCTTTGGTACTCCTTTCAGTGACAAGCACTGCCATAGAACCTTACGATCAACCGAGTGGAATGCCGCCCTAAAGTCAAGAAATACTACGATTGTGGGGCGTCTGAATGTGTGTCTGTGTTCTAGAACCTGACGTAGTGTGAATATCTGGTCTATACAACCACGTCCAGGTCGAAAACCAGCCTGGTTTTCTCTAATCTGCTCTTCACGAGCTTTGATTAGGCATCGAAGTATTATTGAGGCTAATATTTTAGACACTATATTAGTCAAACTGATTATTCTGTGATTGTCACAAGAGGACCTTTGTCCTTTCTTATAGACTGGCACAATCAGTGATTGAGACCAGTCAGATGGGATTACGTCCAGTTCCCAAATTCTACCTAAAACCTCGGTTAATCTCATTGCTAATACTGTTCGAGAAATACTACTATTGTAGGGCGTTCCGTGTACTCGAATCGTTTGCCCTAGCGGTGCGAGTTGATAAAGAGACGTGAGGAGGGTTAGTCATAGAGATAAGAGAGGTATTAGGAGGTGTAGGAAAAGTTTGAATGTGACTAACTTGGTCTCGTGTGCTGTTACGGGTATGATGGCATCACTTCCCGGCTGCCCACACCGTGGAAGGGTATTTCTTGAGGAAACTGAAAAAGAAATTGGATTAGTGCTGGTCTTAACGACCTGGGAGCGTGACCGCAAAGCCCAAGGGACAACTGCTTGAGGCCGGTCGCGCACGGCCTTTCCGTTGAAGGCTTTTAATGTGTTAGCTCCGTTCTTCAAAGGGCCTTACCGCCGGAGACGGAAATCCGTGAGGTAAGGTGAGGTGTGACATTTTTAGGGTCGACCTTTTCTAACCCCACCCCTCCTTGTGGGAAAGCAGCATCGCTGCAGATGCTGGTTGTCTGAGGGAAACACCTTACTGCTGTCACACCCCTCTACAGTCAGCAGTACGACTTCGCCCTCCGATCTTGAGTTGCTGCTTTTAGTCTTACCGTTCTCCAATCGACCTGCCTGGCATGGCAGAAACTACAGGAACATATGTTCCAGCCAATATAGCTCTGCCGGGTCATCACGATAGGCAAGCCCGACCACCGCGTCAAGGTAGCAGCTTCGGTCGGGTGATCGACGACTGGTTCATACGTTATTTGTTCCCTCGGGATCCTGGAGCCCATGTGCACCATTTGTTTGGAATCAGGGTTTTTTATCTCACCTAGTTGAACCTTTCTTGTCCACCACCCCTGTTAGGATGCCGGACATTTGCTTTTCGTCCTCTCAATTTCGTAATCAACACCGCTAGGTAGTGAGTAATTTATTTATTTATTTATTCGAACACATAAATATTGGTACAAGAGAGCGCCAATATATATGCGCCACACAAAACAATGAGAATTCGAAGAGAAATAGAAAAAAAAGGAACAATAACGAAGAGATTGGTGTAAGGTAGTGTGGTAGTCATGAGGGAACGCAAAGGTACAATCGGAAGAAATCTTTCAGGTAAGGGAGACACAACCACTTTTTATGAAGAAAGTAAAAGAAGATTACAACAGGATCGCCACTGGCTTCTATTCTGAGCCATATCTGATAACGTCTCTAGCCACTGTGTAGCACCATCTCTCAGACCCCAACCAGGGAGTCGTGAAGGACCAACACAAGCCAGTCCTTTGCAGCTTTCTTTCATGCCACGACACCATGTCATGCACTGACCACCTCTCCGCTTTTCCCAACCAGTCCCAGAGTCGGCAAATAATGCACGACGTGGAATTCTCTGGGAGGACATTCGTAGAACATGTCCAAGCCACCGAAGTCGGTGTTTCAAGATGGTGACACCAATTGAATTATCATCTCTGTGCCCGAACACACGATGCCGAACCTCTGCATTACTGACATGGTGTTGCCACTGAATGTCAGCAATCCTTCGGAGACAGCGATGATCGAACACAGAGAGTCGTCTAACGTCCTCAACTCGGAGAGACCAGGTTTCACAAGCATAGAGCGAAACTGCTCTCACTGACGCGTTGTAGATCCGACCTTTTACAGCCAGACTAACATCACGAAGGCGCCGAAGGTGGCCCAGGTTGGCATAAGCCGCTGTGGCTTTCACTATTCGTGCATTGATCTCATCACTCACGCCACCACCAGCACTTATGCAGCTACCCAGATACACGAACTTCTCGACTACGTCTATCTGCTCACCATCCAGGGTGAGTACAGGATTGGGATCCTGCCAGTCTCGTAGAAGTACTTTGCACTTCGAAGGTGCAAAGCACATACCCATACTTACGGACACTGATTGCCAGCTGATTAAGTGCGGATTGCATGGCTTGGGTATTATCGCACAGTAAGACAATATCGTTCGCATACTCAAGGTTGAGAAGTCTTTCTACAAGCAACAGATCCACACCACCATTACTTACATTCATCAGAGCTGTTTCCAGAACGTCATCGACGGCAAAGTTGAAGAGGAATGGTGAGATTGGGCAACCGTGCCTAACCCCACTGCTCGAATGGAACAATGGAGAGAGGTGGTTGTATGCCCTCACTCTGCCTGAGGTGTTTGTATACAGGGCTTTTAGGATGTTAATAAACTTCTCAGGCAATCCCTTCTTCAATAGACAATCCCAGAGAACAGTCCTGTCCAACGAATCGAAGGCAGCCCTGATGTCAAGAAACAGTACGGTTGTTGGCCTTTGATAAGTATGGCGGTGTTCTAACATTTGGCGGATGGCAAAGATATGATCAATACATCCTCGACCAGAACGAAACCCAGCCTGCTCCTCGCGAGTCAATCTTTCTCGGGTTTTGAACAACCTACGAAGTATGACGGAAGCCAATAGCTTGGACGCAATCTGAAGTAGACTTATCCTACGATAGTTGTTACAGGAACGACGTGAACCCTTTTTAAAGATAGGGCCAACTATCGACTCATTCCATGACGTTGTTACACTCTCTAGTTCCCAAACCTTTGTAAACATCGTCGTCAATTCCTTAGTCAGAAAGTCACCACCATCTTTAAAAAGAGCCGGAGGTAAATCATCTGTGCCAGGTGATTTGTAACGCTTCAAGAGTTGGAGTTCCTTGCGGACTTCCGCCTCATTTGGTGGATCAGTCGTCACCGACCATGGAGGGCAGGACAGTCTGATCGATGTTGCCGGAGCAGCAGGCCAATTGAACTGCCCTTCGAAAAATTCTGCCCATCGTCCAAGACGTCGATGGATGTTAGTGATTGGCATAACATCATCCTCATAGATTGTTTCACTCACACCAGACTTCTTGCTGCCAGTGGCTTGGATGAGTTGGAAGAGCTTCTGGTAGTTACCAGATGCAGCTGCTGCTTCCAGCTCATTAGCACGCTTCGACCACCAGGCTTCTCGGTCCTTACGCAAGCTTTGCCCAATTTCCTTACGTAACATCCTTCGTTTATGGTCAAACTCACGGTCACCCGGAGTAGACCGACGGGCTTCAATGAGTTGTAAGGAACCTGAAGAAACCCAGTGCTTATAAGCGGGACGTTTCGCGAACCCACAACTGACTGTACCCGCCATTTTCATGGCGTCATGCAATTGCAACCAATGCTCATCTATACTTTTCGGTGGAGTGGTAGCTACCTTAGAGGCTAGCTCGGTTCGATACTTACTTGCAACAGAAGTTGCAACCAGCTTGCTAATATCAATCCGTTGATGGCGGTCACTTCGTTGTCCACTGAAAAGTAAGGCAAGATTGGCACAGACCAAGGCATGGTCAGAGTCTAGATAGGTACTCCAAAAGGAGCGGCAGTCTTGTTCACAACCAGGCCAGTGGTAGCTGATCGCGATGTGATCAATCTGAGTCCAGGCTTGAGATGCAGAGGGAGGACGCCAGGTGGCACATCGGCGATGACTGCGCCGAAAGTTAGTGCTAGCCAGAAACAGGTTGTAGTTTGTGCACAGTTGCATTAGACGGTCCCCGTTATCGGTCCTGCGACCAACGACTCTCTTCTGTGCCTAGACGCCCGACCTGAGCATTCAAGTCTCCGGCTAGTACCACAATATCTGTCGAACGCACTTTCTGGAGAAGAACAGATAACTGGTGGTAAATCTCATCCTTGGTTGCATCCGGGCTGCAATATGTCGGAGCATAGACGGAGATGACGAAAAGACATCGTTTTTCAGGCCGATTTCTTCTCACTTTGATGGAACTTTCTAATCTAACAGCACATAACCGACTGTTAATGGGGATCCAATCGACTAGTGCTGCCTCAGCTCTAGCGCTTAGTGCGACACCAACGCCTGCAAGACCAGACGAAGATGCCACAGGGTCCCCGGATAAGCGCATGTAAAACAAGCTTTTTGAAGTGACAGATGTAGAGCGAATTTGTAGTACTTCGCCAGAGTCTTGAATACGGGTCTCAGATAGACAACAAACATCAATATTAAGACTTTCCAAAGAAATAGCCAGCCCTATCTGTTGTCCGACCTGCATAAATGTGCGAACGTTGAAGGCAGCCAGTTTGAATGGTTCACGTGGTTTCAGAAAAACTGCTTCAGTTCTCGTATTCGGTGGTAACATACAATTTTCAACCGGACAGTGACTCGAAAACGTTTAGATACAGTCGAATTTCCACCAAAGACGAGCCGCTGTATAAGTATAAAAGAGGGTGAATAATGTGGAAAATAATAATAATAATAATAATAATAATAATAATAATGATAATAATAATGACAATAATTGTAAGGATAATAATTTGAATCGATTGCTTGTTTTTCGAAGCGAGAAAAGTAATTTCCATACGTTTAGAGAGTTCATCAATTTGTGTGTGGGCTGTGATACTGCCCGGGTGCCCAGACCGAAGCAGGTGGTTATCTTAGGGGGCCACTCCCCGAGCCTTTGACCTAAAGGTCTAACCCACAAGGCAGTGGAGCATCGTAAGGAGATGCAATCCCATGGTAGCCGGTGACCAACGATTGGTTCATACGCCATTTGTTCCCGCAGGATATTTGAGCCCATGTGACCATTGGTTTGTGATCCGGTTAAAGCGCCGGACATTCGCTTTTCGTCCTCTCAATTTCGTAAAAAACACCCCCGCCACGAGAAGGCAATGAGTAGGACTTCCCTGGCAGAGGCTGTATGCGTGTGGCCGTGTGAGAGTATTTCGAGAGGGAGAGCGGACTCTCCCCACTCTCGGCCGTACCAGGGCATTCGGGGGCAGGTAGTGGGTAGGACTTCCCTTGCAGTGGCTGTATACTGGTGGCCATGTAAGAACATTTCGAGAGGGAGAGTGGACTCTCCCCACCCTCGGCCGTACCAGGGCACCAGCTAAAGAACTTTCGAAGCTACTTGTATGTGTTTTATCATATACTACTCTTTAATTTGCTCTAGAATCGTTTAATTTAGTTCGTTGGATCAATTCTGTTCCTATTAGTGATAAATTTTATTCAGGGTAACATTTACCATGTAACTTTGTTTTGAGGCTATTATATCTATTATTTTGATGGTTCGGCACGGACTTACGGTAATCGTTAATTACTGGACGATTGGGATTCTCCTTATACAAACGCAAACAAGTAGGAACTCGAACAAACCGAACTTATATTACTTCAACATTGATAATGCATAAGATAGAGATGACAGGATTTTTAGTATAGCTTTATACCCCTAATAGAAGTAAAAGAATGAAGTACAACAGCTCTTTCTATAATAAAGTGCAATAATCTTGAACATGTAATAAAGCAAACTAAAAAGAATAACAACCGATAAGGTAGCAGCTAGGGTTATCGCGGAAATATGAACTAGAAAGTTGTCATCGTGTTTATTGTTTGAAGAAAGAACTGACATGTAATAACAAATACCTATACAACCTAATTTCTCCCTAGCAGAAAAAATGACCTTGATTGTTCAAAATAATACGTTGTATTGATTATTTGCATACTTTTGTGTATTGTACTTTATCTAACAACTAACGTACACTTTGCTGATATTTTTACAATAGATTAGAGAGTAACGTCAGACGTCTTCGTTCCGAATTACAGTCCATGCGTGGACTGGAAACACAATTGCGTAACCAATTAAACAGTCTTCAACATGACGATCACCTCAATCGACTCAGTCTGTCCAACCAACGTCAAGAGAACGAGGGTATTTCATCACGTATTTCAAAGCTAACTAATAAATGCCGTACTGAACGGGTTAATTTAAACACAATTGAGCAAAATTTAGGTGAAGAAGTTCGTTTGCGTCAGTTGGTCGAAGCTCAACTCACTGAAATTGGTGTAATTCCTGTGCGTAGTTTTGTGGGATCAAATAATGTTAATAATGTACCCAGCAATTCAACTGAAAAGTGTATTCCAACATCTATGTCCCTTATTCAGTAAGTAAATGCTAAAGAAATTAGTGTTTTGTTCTTAAAATTCCTAATTGTTTTTTATTCGGGTTGAATTTAAAAGTATATAATTAGAGTCAAATATTGTGATAAATAGTATATCCAGGACAAGTTTATGAGTTGTAAGCTGCCATCTATTTTACCTTCTAATTCATATTTTGTGGTGCTTAAAATTCAAGACATCGTCAGTATGGGCATGTGTAAAGTTAGTGTAACCCTTAGCAGTAGAATATTCCTCATTGTTCACTAAATCTCCATTTCATTTCTTCCTCACCACTTTTCAGGAAAGTATTAACAGTAATTTTTCAGTTCAAATTTAACTACTTTTGCAGCTCACGGTAACCGTCGAAACCCACTCGACAGTATACTTAGTATCCTGAAACCACTCAAAAGGAAAAATCAAGCTGCTCTCTGCATTAAGATTTTGCGCTTCACCTACTAGAACCGCAATTAAATCATGACTGTGTGTTCATATACGTTGAGCGGCGGTTTCGTGAAGGGGTAAAGGAGATGGCTTTCAGTACAGCATAAGCTCGAACCTCTGTCTGGGCAGCTGGTTAGTTCCACTAACTGCATAAAACATATATGGTTCTAAGCCGAGTATAATAATCTGTACTTCAAATCCACCTTTTTCTGGCTTTTTCGATTGTTTCTACTTGGCCATAGCTCCTACTGTGATTAGACTCGCCTATTACGACGACTTAATGCGTCTATATTGACTCGAACAATTGTTTTTCTGTGTTCCATTATACTAGGGAGGTTGATTGTATAGCGATACGATTAAAAATACGAGGTTTAAAATGGTGCGTATTGACTAGAGCTGGGTACAGCGATATAACAGGCAACATGATTTAGAGTTTTCAAAGCTAATACTACAAAAATAGCTACACTAAAATGTGAATGACTATCCTCTGTCAGTTTTTCTATGGGTTCTGTAAATATACCCTCAAACTATCGACGTCATCAATTATACATTCTCTCCGGTTAACACGCGATTTAAGCAGTTGCTAAGCTTCAGAGAAAGCGTTGTTCAGAATCATTTAGACATCTAAAGCAAAAATATAAAAAGTGTTTGGCATGGGAGTTAACTAGCCCCCAAATGCAATATTCTAACTCAAGAACGGTTTGTATCTGTTAAGGAAATTTACATTTCCTTGTTTTCGCGCCAAAAGCGCACTTTTCACCTTCATGTCGTATTTCCCACTTGGGCGAATCTTTAACGCTATTGGTCCGTTGTGTATTTTTAGTATGCTATTTTTGCAACGCTTACCAAGGACAGTTTTATGCTGTATATATACGTTTGATTTGTGTCTGTTATTATTCACTCGTGCTTCTGGCTTACGGAATATACTTTCCCATTCCAAGCTTGGACTTCTTCCTCTAGTTAGCGGGGTTGGGACGCATGAAATAGCTAGCTTATTGGTCTACGGTCACAAGTCTTTGTTAAGTTCGCATACTAAGTGAACTCGTAATAGCTTCAAACCTAGCAGTATCAATGCGTAATGTATGCATACTGAGTGTTTTGATTAGTTTGTTTATCGTGCAAGTCGCACCAATGATGATAAGCTGGTGGCTGACGAAACTTCGGCACGAATACAGAATTTTATTTTGGTCTCTTCTAACTCGTACCACATCTAACACAGGTGAGACATCTCTCTGAATATAAAATAACAAGTATACTGTACGGTAGTTTGTTTCGGGCTAATCATAGCTTTAATACTTGGGCTGTCAGGATAGAAAACAAGCATAGGCTGCTAACGTTTGGTCTCAGATCTCTAGCAATCAGTTTAACAATATTTTTTTCATTAATTATTTACGTCCGAAAGCCAATGATCTTCGACATCTTAACATGTATTGTAGTTTACAAAAAACGTACTGGTCAAATCCTTATTTATATCTGACTTGATGTTTTATTTTATTTCCCTTTCGATTTATGTAGAGCGTCTTCTAATAATGACTCATCGTCGAATTCTAATGTCGTAATACTTCAACCAAGCGAAAGTGAAAAAATAATGGATAATTATTGCTGCAGACTACGTCAACTACTAGAGTCAAAGATTTATGCCCTTAGATTAACTGTGAAATATCGTGAAAACTTAACACTAGCTTCCAAAATGCACCATTCAGGTCAGCTGGTTTCCAAGTGTCTAACCAACGCAAACCTAAAGGTTGTAGACACTTCAAATTATGATAGCAGTGTTCATCAATACGATTCACAATCGTTGTCATGTAGACTTCAATCCGGACAGTTTATAACCAAAGATGTTTATTGTTGCATTTTGAACTCAGATGTAGAAAATTTGCATAATGTTGCTATGATTAATCAACATTCGTCAACAAATAACCATAGGCATGCATTTTTAGAAAATTGTTTCAATTTAGCCAATGAGAAACGAGAACGTTTGGCAAATAAATTACGTACAGAGAATTGGCAAAAACAAGAATTACTCACATTATATCACACATCTGTACGGGAAATAACTGAACTCAATAGTAAGTTTGTCTTAGAAGTTGAGGATCAATTTTTTTTAAACCTTTGTGGACTTTTAACTTCGTGTAACTTTTTATACATACTTTACTTCAAACAATGTAATCATCTTTATATGAATTCTCCATTAAAAGTGTATATTAATTGCTACAATAAATAGAAAGTTTATTGATTCTTGTTTAGTCAGTGGTCATTTTAGTGGTTTTTTAATCGTACATTAATGCACTTAAGTAAAATTTATCGTGATATTTTACATCTTAGTTCTCTTATGTAGGTTGAATTTGTTGTTCGGATAGAATAAGCTTCATAGGATAATTTGTGTAATCCCCCTAAGGTTCTATGCTGAAATCCACTAGTTCCAAACTGACCTATTGTGTTATTGCAAACTATTCTTGATATAAACTAATTACTATCCCAAATGGTTGGTAGTCACTATTGTTTTTCGTTTATCGATATTATGTCGACCACCACTCATGGCTTTAATTATGCAAAAACCATTATCTAATAAATTGTTTTATCCTACCGAACTACGTTACTCTATCAGGTATGCACAAGTACAAAACATAAAACCACCTACGGAGACATTTTGCGATAGATCTGAGCATAGACGAACATCAGCTGGAGGTTAGAATGGTCGTTTTTCTTCTGTTCGAAACAGTTTAATACTGAGCACTAGTTAACTCTGTATGATGAATTGACCGAATTCAGAAAATATACATAATTCGATTCCAATTCTGTTTATCATAAAAATGTATCATTTTTAATTCAATTTAGTGTAAGATAATGATTGCTCATTACTTATGAGTTTCAAACTAAGTTGAAACGGCTATCAGTTGCACTATTCTTTTCGGTGACTTTTCAATAGATGTCATCCAGTGATAAGAATGTAAACATAAGTCTAGAGAATCGGTTGAGTAAAACACGGGTAAATGAAAGGATGGTTTCAGCGGAATAATAAATTTACTATTGTCTCTTTCTGGACACATTAATCTTGATGTGAATTTTTTGATTATTACTGCTTTGGAAAACTGAAGAGAAGTTGTACTTTTTGTCTGCTGATTATTTTGAAGGACTCGGGAGTGTCGTTAATATGCCCGCTACCAATAAAATACCGATCTTTTGCACTGCGTAGAGCTGTTGCACCTCCCAGTCTCAAATTCTTTAGAGCATGCTCTTCAAATCTTGTATAGTTATTACGTAACCCATTTAACTATTCTCAACTTCTCATTACTCTGTTATATATATTTGTGATGTGGAACTGTTCAAATCCTCTATAATTATCACAGCCCATCTTATCAGTCACCAGAATCCACATAATTACTGCCGTAATCCTTTGTATTTCTGAATTCCATCTATAAATGACCTTACATTTTTTATATATGTTGTTGGTAATTTCTGTTATTCTTATTCTTTCCATCATCAATGTTGGTTACTCTACATCATATCATATCTCAATGTTACACTTTGATGCGAATACGATTGTAAGGAGCTGTTGAGAAACCCCAAAAATAAGATGAATTGAAATCATTCTGACTCAATTTTTGTTTTGAGCTTATTCAAATTCATAAGGGAAACCAATTGCACTGAAATAGTTTTATATTTTTGTAAAAAGCTGATTGCGATTCTGGTTTAATTCTTGGAAAACATTATGATATGAAGGTAACGGAAGAACTAATTCCAGTCATAACCACTGAATAACGATATCTTAGTTATTTACACAGGAAAATAATTGTCCAAGTAAATTCATAATAGTCTATTCTGGACTTTTAAAGTGGTTTTTCTCCAAGATTACTGTTCATTGTAATCTCTAGTGAACTTTTCCACCAAGACTATTACATCGACAGCTAAAATTCACCTGGGCTCTCAATAAGTACACACGTGATTTTTTACTGGGTTTTCGTAATATGTCTATCAAAAAGGAATTTAAGGCTCATCTTAGAATATTTCACATAAAACAATGAAAATGATTACTAAATCTGAATTTCAAACAGAGAAATTGATTTGAAAGTCTAATGTATGAAAGACGGTAAGATTAAGCTGAGACGTATCAGTTAATGCAACTAATGTAGTTCAGGCCCTCAAGGGCCGTAACTAGCATAGCTATAGGAAATCTTTCGTGCACTCATATTACCTTGATGCTTTTAAATTACTTTTATCCGAGTATTCACATATTGTGCGATAAATTAACAGGTTAGCTTGTCCGATGCACTTGCTTATATGGTAGAGAATATTTGTGGCTTAGACTAAGGATGTTAGAGATGTGGTCTCAGAGCTAGATAATTTAGTTGTGAAGTTTCATTGTTCTTCTGAACAATGTCATCGGTACGTTGTTCAAAGAGTGAGCCATTAAGATTTATCCACATTTGAAAGCTTGTACCGTTGACCTAGGATTTAGTTGGTTGTCATCTATAACTGTGTTGCTGGCGTATTTGTCTTGGCTGTTCTTCTCTTTTGGCTTTGCGGTTGTTATTCCTTTAACTTATTGCCTGATAGATTTGGTCGATTTCAATATGTCTGTTGATTGAAGCTTAGTTGGAGTAGCTTGTGCAATGGGGTGAATTTTTATTGGTTCTTTGAATCCTTCAATCAGTTGAATCATTAAGTGGGCGAAACGATGGCGTTTGTATGTAGTGGACGGTACTGGGTTCAAGTCCCAGGGTAGACATCAGTTAAATAATAAGGTATACTCGCAATCATATCGATACGAATGTATAATTCTGGACATGATCTCGACCAGAGAAACGTCGAACTATTAAGAAGAAGACACAAAGCCAGAGAAATCTGATACACTGATCCGGCACCAATCAAAAGACAAATTGAAATCGACCAAATCTATCAGGCAATAAATTAAAGGAATAACAACCGCAAAGCCAAAAGAGAAGAACAGCCAAGACAAATACGCCAGCAACACAGTTATAGATGACAACCAACTAAATCTTAGGTCAACGGTACAAGCTTTCAAATGTGGATAAATCTTAATGGCTCACTCTTTGAACAACGTACCGATGACATTGTTCAGAAGAACAATGAAAACTTCACAACTAAATTATCTAGCTCTGAGACTACAATACCAACTCATGTGTAAGACAATCATAGTTTAAGTAAATGAATTTTTGCCGGATAATGGAGTTCAAAGTTATAGCTTGTGTAGCACTTAATCATATTTTAACTTATATGTAGTCAATATAAAGTTTAATTGATCGTCTAATCCGAATCACTCGTTTCTATGTTTGGTCACAGGTTAGCCTATTTATTTTGGCTAGATGAATCAATAATTATTAGAGTAAGTCAGATTAATAATCGCTCATTTAGTTTCATTTCTTTGTACTTATTATCAAGTTTATCTACTAAGTACACCGACATGTCTTCGATGATCATACGTATATTATCATAAAATCTTCTATAATACATCCTGTTATTTTATAGATGAGTCTTATGTTCACTACCTCATACTTTTTATACCAAATGGATTAGAGTATACGGAACTAAATATTTCCCTAAAATTTAAAAGTAAATTGTCTAAAATATTGGTTTTAAATTATTATAAACAAGGTTTTACTTAAAACCAGATACTGTAATGCATCATTTCAAGATGCATCATTTATCAACACCATTGCGAAGGCAAGTCAGCGGAAGTAATACAAACCAAGAAAACCTAAGACATTTCAATGACACTACGTTTACTTTCTTCATTTACATGACTGCAGTTCGTTTTGGACATTACTATTTCATCCTGGAAATCCGTGCACTAACCAGATCAATAGCCACTAATTTAGGGTCCTATCGGTTTTTCTCAAAGCTCTATCATGCTCCAGTCACTGTTTTAATTCAGTATAATAACTAGCATGTTTCTCATATGCTTCTAGTCAATCGTTTTCACAATATATGCAATCTTGACTGTCCAATCATTTGCTTGATGCTTCTAGTTTGACTTTGTCCCAAGAATTTTTGACATAATATTGATATGATATTTTATATTGCCTTGTATCATCATCATCTTTTTTTGGTAAAAAATTTTTATTCAGAAACCCTTAAACAACGTGATTTACAAATCTTAGAACTTACGATGAAAATAGAACAACTTGAGTGTTTACCGAAAAGTACTAGTCGATGTGATCCTGTCAGTCACGCCGGGTATTTTGCAACAACAGCAACATTGACAGAGTCATCAAGTGATTCGGTTGATGATCCGACAAAATTTTGTTTAGGTGAAAAACAGTTCACATCTAATAAACAACAGGATGTAAGTCAAACGAATTTCTTCCATACATTTTATCATACGAACAAAAACCACCTGATGCATATTATTTTAGTGCTTATGTTTTCTACCAATTAGGTATTTTTATTTCAGAGCTTTATCTGTTTTTGAGCTACCACGTGCCCAAACTCAGTTTTTGGCACATCTGTGATTAGTCATCAGTTTATGGTGTATGTCTGAGATTTGGAACATATTGTGCAACAGTGAAAATTGATAAGTCTTGCTAAACAAATGCTCGATCCGGTTTCCTAGCTGCTTCTAATAACCCCAGGCTAAATCTACACGACAGCTTGAATATGCGAGAAAAGGTACGAAGGCCGATGATAAGGACTTCTTTCACTCACAAAATAAATCAAAGTGATTTGGAAATACACTACATTGTTGGGACTATAATTTATGGCCGACCTTAGAGCGACGCTAAAGTGGCCTTGAGAGCGGACACCTACTGATAAAGAAAAAGTGAGGGTTATAAAGCAGTCAGAATTCTCATCTACAGTTGATGGTTAGGGTTTTCATCACGAACTGAAATTAGCTATAATGCCAAAACTCTATTTAGCAAAATGTATGGAGGAATTTCGCGCCAAAATTTGTGACTCGTTATCTTATATCTGATTGGTTCGTCCATAAATTATAGTCTCGCCACTACATTTTATATGGTTTATTTGCAGTTAGATTAACAGACAGAGTTGTATACAATAAACTGCGTTGTATATAACGATAATAATTCATATATATCATATCATATTATGCAATTAAGTATCTGTAATCCTTCTTAAAATGTTAAATCCATATAACACACGATTGGAAAAAAAACAGTTTCATATATCATTCCCACTCCAGTTTATTGAGCTATTACTCGCCATATCAGAAATATTCCAAGATAGTTTCTTAATTCAAATTTATTTTAATCGCATAATGGACCCATACGTTTTTTACAAATGCTAATATTTTACAAATACTGGACTAGTCAATATATTTCAGTCCTATTCTGTTACGATCACGTAAAGCTTGATTTATACCCTCAAGATTACTGTTCGTACAACCTTTGGGATTAGTCGCAACATTTTATTTGTTATCCATCAAAAAAACAGTTGTTACTGACATCCTAGTTCATAAATGTGTGCATATTTAATTACATTTCATATTTACACATTGGGGTTTACAATTTAAAACTACTCAGCTTCCTCCTGTGTAATTTTGTGGTAACATCCTTCAGGAATATTACATTATCTTCTTACTATATATGTCATTTATTAATTGTCGAGATCACCTCAGCCAGTATCAGAGACTCACTAAGATAGGTAACTATAGGTGTAATCTTAATTTGAGTCCCTAAGTATTTTTGGTTACAACATGCATAATAATTTATGTCCATAGTAAAATTAATCAACAAACAGCTTTTTTCTGTATTTTTGAACACTGACTTCAGGTTTTATAGTATTCTTATGCTAAAAGAGTTATTTATTTGAAGTCAATGAACCAGTAATTAATTTTCTATATTGTGATCATATTATTGATGAGAGAAATACTTCCATAAAATTGATTCTTATTATTTCTAGATGTCATCTCTGTTGCCAACATGCAATATAGGTCAATTGTTTACTAATACCTCGACAAATACACGCGGTAACATACTTATCCACTCTGCTTCAGTAAATCATGATTATAGTGGTATTAATAATACTTTTCTACAGACTTCTAGATTTTGTGCACCAGCCATCCCATCCATAACTTCATTCACAGACTTTGCAAGTTACCCTGAAATTTATGCTCATGCAACTTATCATTATAAAGACAAACAGAATCTAATCTTCACAAAACCTATTACTACAACTTTCCACACCAACTTATCTTCATCTTGTTTGTTAACTTCTCGAATATGTTCCTCCTCGTCGTCTTCGTCGTCATCTTCAAATATGAGCTGTGCGATGCATGCAGACGTACAGACACTTAAAAATTATAAAGAATCATCTGTTATTACATCAGTCAATAGTAGCTGCCCAATTGTACATCAACAGCATCACCGAAAATAGCAGCAATAACTATCTGCTGACGTAAAGTAATTTAATACATTCATTGTCGTTACATTTATACACGAATTTATGAGTGTTTTTCCTAACTTTAAATAAAGATACATGTACCTGTGAGATATATATTACTTTTTTCATGAAAATAGCGTTGTATTAAAAGAGAGAGGTTTCATTATTGCTTGCTTTTTTATTGGTTATTCTTCTGATACCTGTTATACAGTTAGTAAATTCCCCTAAAGTTGGCAAATGTCTCAAGTTGTTCGCGTTATATGCTTCATGTATATATATATATATATATATATATATATATATATATAGGGCAGTTACCCACCAAATTCATATGCATATGTTAAACTTTGTTCAATACAAGTATTGATTGAACCCATATTCACAATGTTAGTGCATCATATAAATATCTATAACCACCAATCAGATTTTACCATTATGCCTAACCTGTATGTCACAACAGTGACCTAAATGTTGATAAGCCAAGAAAAATGACCTCCTTTTTAATAATAAATAGTAATGACTGTATTCCTAACTAAGTTTCCAATTAACTCCCTTCAGCATCATCCTCTCACGGGCGTATGCAGCTCTACCCAAGAGAGAAAACAAAAACAGGGAAATGACTACGCAACGGATTAGATCAGTTACGTGAACAACAGAATAGGTCTGAAGTAATAAACCGGAAAAATGATTTCACTACTGGACCACTAAGCTCGTTCGTTGACATTTGTATTGTAGCATCAATTGTTGCCGATAATCATTTACGTTAGTGACTTAAGCAACAAATGTACCTCAGGTGTCCTGACGGTCCGAACGTCGCTAATCTTGATCACACCTTTGTGCCTTTTTAGAATTTCCCTTACCGATAATACCAAAGACTAACGGGTCCTTCAGCGATAATTTTTCCATTATTCATTCCCCAGTTCTCATTAGACCTATCAGTGTCAGATTTGTTGTGAGTTCACAAGAAGTAAGTGCTTGAATTTGATTACCTTCCAAAACTTACTTTATGATAATTACATTGATTTATGGTAACTTTTATTTTCCTAACTTGACTGTGCTCATTAGAATACGGCTTTCGATCAAACGTTAGTGGAAGTTTACAGTATTTTACATTTCCCCTAGTTGTTGGTGTTCGTAGTTTTGCAACGGCTGTCTATTTTTATAGCTTTTATCTACCATCTTAATTGGATGTTTTCCTGAACTCTATCCAAATACTAAGAATTTTGCGTAAATATAACAGTTTGATTCAGAATATTGAGTCTTCTAAGTTAAGTAGTGTATGTTTGAGTCGAATATGATTTTTATGTTGCTTTGCCATGAGATTCCGAGTTAAGTCGATCTGTAACAGCTTCAACTTTAGAAATAGTATATGATCACTATCAGTGTTGAATAACGGATGCAACAAAACTTAAACTAAAATTAAACAATCATTTTCACTAAATTTGGGCCTAGATATATCACACTAATTTCATGCGTTTTCGTGTATTACATGTACCCACAGTTCTCTGAATTACCATCTTGCCTGCATACAGATTTTCTAGTGACAATGTGTCCCGATACTTTCGGTTTTTCGTGAGGCAGTTTTACCTTCTTGAAATCAACAATTATCGGCATACCATCGGAACGCTTTTGATAAGCCTTCTCAGCCTAAATATCTATTTAGTAAGCAATGTTATGTTTTTGTTTAGAGCTGACTCCTTCGATTCGATAACTTTATTTTGATACTAGGCAATTGTAAACGATCGGGCAAAACCCCTAAACGTTCTGACACAGAAAAGTCGAATCTACTGATACGCCACACCGAAAAGTGTCGACTAGCACTAAATCTGGAAGTAATGCTTCTTATTGTCTGTTTTCAATCACAATACGGATCCTCTTTTTTTCAGTGCTAACCTAATTATTTACCGTTAGTGTTGTTTAAATCTGACCCCATTAACCTGACTCCGGTCATGTATGCTTCAAGTGT